TGCCTGAGACCCCGCAGTCTGTCCTGCAGCCGCCCTGCCGGCCCCCACTTGGGATCAGGCGGATTTCCTGCCTCCTGAGTCCCCACGGCTCTGCTCCCGCAGGTCTCCAGGCAGGGCGCGACCGGTCCCTACCACCCACCGGCTGCTCTGCAGCCCAGGCCGCCTGCCGCTCCAAGGACGCCGCTCCGGGGACCGCCGCGTGCGCAGGAGCCCAGACTGTGCAGTCGCTCTGTGTGGCAAACGGCTCCGGCCCCAGAGCTTCAGCCAACATTTCCCAGTCATGGGACTGCACGACCGGGCCGGTTCAGCCCAGACGAGCCGCACTTGCTTCCAGGCTACCGGCTGCAGTTGGGCCAGATCCCCGTGACCCTCCTCCTCGGGCCAGTGGCTGGCCAGCCTGAGTTTGTCCAAGTCAGCCCGCCAACCCCGCCTGTGCGCCTGGAGCCTCGGCGCCGCGTCCGGGGCCGACAGCAGGTGCCCAGCGGGCGGGAGGCGCGCTCCGCACTGGCCGGCAGCTCCCGGCCTGCGCTCGCACTCGCATTCCAGCACCCACCTGTCGACTTCGAAGGCGGGAGGGAAGGAGGGAAAGCTGGCTGGGACTTTGAGGGGGATCACCTTGAAGGGGCAGACGGTCTGGGGAGAATTGACACCTTTTGCATTCGTGTCTTTCAAACCATGATCATGATTTACTCCATTTAATTAAAGCTCAACCGCTTCTTGGTGTTCTGTGGTTTTTCAGAGTTGGGGTCTAGTGCATCTTTCATTAGAAATCCTCCCTTTGGGCGGTTGGTAGCTTTTTTTTTTTTTACGATTTTATTTATTTATTTGACAGAGAGAGACAGCGAGAGAGGGCACACAAGCAGGGGGACAGGGAGAGGGACAAACAGGCTCCGCGCTGAGCAGGGAGCCCGATGCGGGGCTCGATCCCAGGACCCCGGGATCATGACCTGAGCCGAAGGCAGACGCTCACTGACGGAGCCCCCAGGCACCCCAAGAGTGTCTTGTTTTGCACTATATTCTTAAGGCACAGCTTACGCGCACAGTGAGGACAGACCTTGAGCACACATGGCTCCGTGTGCGAGGTCCGCTCCCCCTCCCCCAGATTAGCACAGCTGACCTTGCTCACTGCAGAGGTCGTCGGAGACAGCACCGCCCCACTTAGATCGCCCCACATGCTCCGTGCCTGGCCTCTTCCGAACCGCAGGCCCCGGTGGCACGTTCACTTTCCAGGCAGAGGTGGCCGTGCGAGGGACTGAGGACGGAGGGCTGGGTCGCTTCCCGTTTGGAGTGGCGGCCGAGTCACTGTGATGGCCGCGTGCCGGCATGTGTGGACGCGTGCATCGGTCCCTCCAGAGCGGACACGGACTGGACTGGCCTTCAGGCCCTGCTGATGCTGCTGATGCTTCCGTTTTGCTGTGGAAGGAACGGGCAGTTTTCCAGGGCAGGGTCCGCGCGGGCGTCCTACAGCCTCCCCGCACGCGATCCGGTGAGATGGTGCTTTTAGCCCCTCCGGCAGGTTTGCAGTGGCGTCCCACTGTGGCTTTAGTCTGTGTTCCCCGGATGGCAGGTCAGGCCGAGCGCTCTGCCTTGCGTTTATTGGCTATATTTTCACAAAGTGCCTGTTTCTGGCCTTTGCCCATTTTTAAACTAGGTCATTTGTGTTTCTGTTACTTATTTGCTGGGTTTTTTTATATGCTATGCATTTATTTGTCAGCTACGTGCATTGGGAATGTTTTCTCCGAGTCCGCGCTTGCCTTCTGCCTTTCTTGGCGATGTCCTCTGAGAGGCAGACATATGCCACGAAGCCTGAGCGGTCAGCTTCCCCTCCTGTAACTAGTGCTTGGCCTGCTTCTGTGAAATAGCTTGGTCTGCACCTAAGTCACGAGGGCGTCCTCCGGTGGCTCCTTCTAGAAGCTCTGTGGTTGTGGCCTTCACCTTCCGGTCTGTGATCCATCCTGAGTTCGTTTTCGTGTGTGCTGTGAAGGGCCCAAGGACTGTGTGGTTTTCACAGTGACATCCAGCGGCCCCAACACCATCGCGTGGCTTTGGCGCCTCATCAGAAACAGACTCTCCAGAATGAACTCTGGAGTCCCTCCTCTGGCCGAGTTCCGTTCACCTGTCCCTTTACCAGCATCACACTCGCGCAGGGCCTCGGGATCACAGTCTGGAGGGAAGCGGGGAGTGCGATCCCTAAGTTCCCCAGCACTTCCCGCCCAGCATTGCCTCAGCTGGTCTCTGTCTTTTGAATTTTCCTATAAATTTTGCCATCAGCTTGTACATTTCTACAAGAAAGACCTGGTGGGATTCTGACTGGGCCCACGCCGCGTCCACGGACCATTTCAGGGAGAATTGGCGGCTGGGATACGGAGACTTTGATATCTGGGGGTGATGGACTCAACATTAATTTGGGTGTTCTTTGGTTTTCCTCTGCAGTATTTTAACATACACAGTTTGAATCAAACGTATTCATACGTATTTGATGTTTTGGGCATGTTTATAAATGCATTTTTATAAATTTTGATACCTTAGGTGATTTTTTTTTATCCTTTTTTTTTGGTGGGAATGTACGGAGTCTGCTTCCCGGCAGACCTCAGCTTTTCCGTCCGGTGTCACCAGCTGCACTCCACGCACCCTTTATATCACATCCTCTGACCTCACTCGCCTTCAGGCTGCACGCGTGGATGTTTGACCAGCCTCCCCTGTCTCCCCTGCTCCTGGCCCCTGGTAGCCACTTTCTATTCTGTTTCTATGAGTTTGACTTTTTTTTCTTTTCAGATTCCACTCATGTTACACGTGGTGCTCTAAATTTTGTTTTCCAGTCATGTGTGCTGACATAGAATATTCCATTGGTTTTCGTACATTGATCCTCCAGCCCTACTTCTTGGTTCCAGTAGTTTCCAATGCCTTTGGATTTTCTACATAATCACATCACCCCTTTCTGATCTTTATGTCTTTGTTTCTCATTCCTGCGTGACTGCACTGGCTGGAGCCTCCAGGAGGGACAGGGGCTGGCACCCGTCCGTGGCATTAGCTGGAGAATTTCCACTCTTACCACGTGGAGGCAGTTTGCTCGCTCGCTTGTGTGCTGAGAATGGTTTTCTTTCCTTCCTCCTTCCCTCCTCCTCTCCCTCCTTCCTCCTTCCTTCCCTCCCTCCTCCTTCCCTCCCTTCGGCAGTGGTGGGCAAAGAGCTACTGTTCTGGGCCCATCGGCCTGCTTGTCCCCAACCAGTGCCCAGTGCATGCCTGACGTAAGGTACAGGCCCTGGTGTGTCCTGTGGGACAGGCTTGTCCTAGCCCCCTCAGGGAGGCCTTGTTCCTGGGCTCCGGTTCAACATCTGCCTCAGGCTCCGGGAAGCTATGGGCTGCTTTGCATAGGTGCTGGGTCGCCCCACTTCCGTCTGCCCCACCCAGCACCTGGAGGAGTGACTCAGCCCAGGCTGTTGGTAGTGAGTGGCTCTGACGGGCATTGTGTCCCAGCCCGTGCTGCTCCTGGAGGCTAGGCGGTTGCTCGCTGGGGAATGCCCTGGCCCTGGGGCCGGGAAAGCCTGGGCTGCAGCTGGCTGGGCTTCTGGGCCACCGGCAGCCTCAGGACTGACTCACAGGCCCAGCACAGCAGGGAGGGGAGGGAGCCTGGCCAAGGTTTCAGATCTGTGGACACCCTGACTGCCCCTCCGTGAAAGGGCCTCCCTCACCCTGGGGTGTCAGGGGAACCGTGCCAGAACTCTCCCCGAGCAGCAGCTTCAGCACACGGCACGGCCTCTCCAGGTGGCCGGCCTGCTCACCCTTGCTCGTCCCAGCCACAGTGGTACCCTCGCCCAACAAGGTTACCACCTCCTGGGCCAGCAGACTGGTGTCCTGAGGGGCCGGTGCAGAGAGCAGCCTGCCTGGGAGGGGACGGCCCCCAGCCTGGGAGTGCAGAACAGCCTGGCCCTGAGGCCAGGGCTTACCCGTCAGTCCTGACGTTCCAGTCCCCATCGGAGCCCCTCCAGCCATGGGCCTGCCTGGGGCTCCGGGTCCTGATCCAGCCCACACCCGGATGCCACCCGGCCCTCTTGACGTCCAGCTCTGTGCCCACAGCCCATCTTGGTCCCGGCCTGGAGGGGACAGGGCCTCAGCTCCAGGGCTCTGAGCACAGGCACACAGGGCAGCAGGACCTAGCGTCTTCTGGGCACAGCCTATGGCGAGGCGGGGTGCGGGTCACGAAGAGCTGGAGGAGCGCCAGTGGGAGGGCCCGGGAAGGGGCAGGATGGGGGCCACAGGCTGGGGTCCTGCAGTCCTCTCCATGCCCACGTGGCTCTGGAGCCCCCTCACTCTGCGGGTCTGCGGGCACCCTTCTCCCTGGACGCCTAAGCAGGGCTGAGGGACCGTCCGGGGGAGCTGGGTGGGTGCCAGTTGGCCCTGCTCCTGAGGGTGACGCCCAGACTGGCTATGGGAAGAGGCTCGTGGCTGGTAATGGGGCAACAGGCTCCAAGGAGGCTGACTGCGCCCGTAGCTTCCTGCGGCAAGCCCTCTGCTTCCTTCCCAGGGGTGGAGGGCCAGGGCGTGGACCACTCACTTAGACCACCTGGCTAGGACCACCCATGCCCTCGGGGAGGGAGAGGGCTGTAGGGGCAGGTGAGCGTGGCAAAGGTGACCTCCCCCATCCCCACAGCCTTCACCCCCACGCCCCCCCCCAGACACGATGCCCCTGGACACCGCCTGTTGGGCTTGAGTGTGGGTCTGGGGTTTTCTGAGGGCTGGGGAAAGAAGAGGGGGTTGGTGTGGGAGCGGGTGGGCTTGCGAGTCAGCTGGGACCGGACTTCCAGCTAGACGCTGGCCTTGCCTGGGGTGGCCGTGAGGTAGGCCGCCTTGGGGAGCAGTGTCAGGAACCGTTGAGTATGGCCAGGGCGTGGTCCCAGGGCAACAGGTCTCAGCGCCCAGGGCCCGGCTCTGGGATGGTGGGGGCGTGGCCGCGGCGGGCGGACGGACGCGGGCTCAGGGCTCCTCTCTCTCTCCCCAAGGGCAGCGCAGGGAACCCCCAGCGCCCTGCCTGGTGTGCGGCTCTCTGCCGCCGGCCCGGCCCTGCAAGCGCTGCCGCTCCTTCTGCGCCTCGGTCCTGCAGGGCGCCTCCTTCGTGCCCCTGGACGGCGGGGGCACCGGGGCCGGGACCCCGTGACGCCAAGGACCTGCACACCGAGGACCAGGACGGGACAGACTAGCCTTAGAACGTGGCTAGTTTCTTTGGAAACTTCACATAATGAGAGTCCTTGCATACAGAGCTATTTTAGCGAAACTCTGCAACTTCAGCATGATATTTCTTCTGGAGCCCCCGCCCCAACCCGGGGCCAGCACCCCACATCCATACACCCATGTACCCCAAACTCACGCCCCATGTCCTCCCGCAGCACCCCCCCTCACCGGAGGAGGACGCCCCTTGTGGGCCGATGAGCATGAGAAACCCCCCCTCCAGAGCCCCTCCTTGCTAGCAGGCGCCCCTCCCAGGCTCGCAGCCCGAGGTCTTCCGCAAAGCACTCAGTCACTCATTCATTCAACGAAAGTCTCATTTGCACCCAAGTGTCTCCTTCCAACCTGGGGCTGAGTGAGGGTGTGGGAGGGGGGGCCTGGGTCAGAACCCTCAGAGTCAATCCCATTTGGGTTTCTGGGCCCTCTGGCCACCAGCGGGCCGCTCCGGCGGCAGAGAGCCAGGGAGGGGGAGCCCCTGCAAGCTCTCCGGGCTCCCAGCCCTCCAAGCCCACATGGAAGAGGAGGGGCTTGTGAGCAGTCGCTGTGGGCAGTTCTTTGTTGACCTCGGGAGGGTCCACAGCCCTCCCTTCCCAGACAAGTCCAGGGCCTGGAGGTGGGGAGGAACCTACCCCCACCCCCGGGCTGTTCCCCACCACGATGGCATGCGGCCACATCTGCTGGCCACTTCTGGTCACCCGTGCCTCTTGGCGCCGGTGTCACCTTCATGGTGGCAGGTGTCTCATCTGGCAGGTAGGCCTGTCCTGGGGGTGGCCACGGAGTGGGGACTCAGGGCCTCGGGGGCCACATGGCCTCCTTGCCCCAGGGAGAGCCTGTGCCCATGAGATCCCGTGGTACCGTGGTTCCCACCTGTCCCATGGTTACAAGCAGCTGTGTCCCGGCCTCAGAGCCTATGGAGCAAGGCCTGCATCTGGCCTGCATTGCCTGGGGCACAACGCTGTGTCCATGCAACGGGAGCCCCTTGGGGTGGCACACTTTCTTCTGACTCACCCCATCTGGCCGACCCAGGGGCTGAGTGTGCTGGAGGAGGGCTGGCCCAAGGACAGTGGGGGGGGGGCTTTCCTGGGGGAGGCCGGACCTGCAGGCCTGTGCTACTCAGCACAGTAGGCTCGCTCACTCCTGGGTATGGTGGCCTCCCGAGCGCTGGGGAGGTGGGGGCTGGAGCTCCACCCACCCCGGCCCTGCCTCACCAGTCATGTGAGACAGGGTGCCCGGAGCCCAGCAGTGCCCCTAGAAGTCCCAGCCCACTCACGCTGTACGCCAGGTGGGTTCAGGGCTGAGGCACTGGCCCAGGATGGAGGGAGACTGGGGGTGAGCTCTGGCGCCCAGGCCATGGCGGCAGGAGAGTGCAGACCATGGTTTGGGGCGATGTTGGGTGGCAGACCCTGTCCCATGGGGCAGAAGTTCCTTCAGGGCGCTCCCCGAGTTTGCTCCTGACTCGGGCCTGAGTCCCTGTCAGGGAGCACTTTGGCTGTGTCTGCACTGAGGGCTGCCCCCCAGGACCGGCCTCCCTGCAGTGCCCAGGCTGCGAATGATGCCACTCAGGGTCAGCTCCCTTCCAAACCTGAGGTGCCCTGTTGGGGTTCCAGGCAGATCCCCAGCCATGGGTCACTTTATGTGCCCCCCCCACCCCGCTCATGGGAGGGTGCCCTCCCAGGGCCAGAGCTGCTCACACCGGCCCTGCAGGTGCAGGAAGGAGACCAGACACAGGGACTCTGGGCCCCCTCAGGGAGGGAGGAGACAAAGGAGCTTCCAAGCTCCGTCTTCCAAGTCTGCTGCCCTGCACCATGCCGCTGAGACCGGAGCAGCCAGGGCCGGGAGCTGCTGCCTACACACGCGCAAGCACAGAAGGAATCAAACTCGAGGAAAGTGCGGAGTGATTCCCAAGCAGAAGTTGGGCCGCGGGTGTTGCCCTCTGGGGTGAGGAATAGCAGCGTCAGGGTTAAGCATCTCAGACCCAGAGGGGTGATGGGCACAGGCCCCAGGCCCTGCTCCAGAAGAGGGTTCTCCTGTGGGCTCAGGGCTGGGGCCAGCCCTTGCCAGGTGCAGGCACCTGGAAAGGCTCCCACCCCTCTGCTAGCCCACCTGGACTGAACAACTAGGGCCACTGGCCACCCTCCGTCCCGCACCATCATGACAACTGCCTGAGACACGGGGGAGCCTTGGGGCATATGGGACAGCTCCCTGACCCCACAGGCCCACAGCCAGCCCTGCTCCGGCGTCTAGCCCCCTGGGGAACCTGGTTACCTGGAACCCCAAAGACTTAAGGTTCCAGATGCTTCCTTTGGCATCCTAGAAACTTTGTGGGCAACTGGCCAGAGTCTGAAGGCCCCATTGCCTGAGCCAGGACCTGGCAGGAAGTTATGGGGTTGTGGTTACCGCCAACCCGCTTGGGCTTTTTTCCATCAGGATGGGGAGTGTCTGCCTCGGGGAGGAGACTCAATCGAGACTCTCCCACTTGTCTCTGGGGCTGGAGCTGCAGGCTGGGAGGCAAGGAGCCACTCCTCGGGCCGTCCTGCAACCTCCCCCCATGCACGCGGGCCGGATGCTGGCTGGGCGAGCAGTGGTGCTGCTCTCCCTGGCCTGGAGCGCGCACCGCAGCTTGGCCATCCCCCAGATTGCAGAATGCGGCCTCTCCTGTTCGCAGGTGAGCTCCTGCCTCTTCCTTGACCCCCATCCGGTGATCAGGGGGCCTTTCCCGCTCTCATGTGAGCCTCCGAGCCTTCCTAGGGTCTCATCTTGAGGGGGCCCTGGCTCCTTCACAGGGGGGTGCCGGCCTGGCGCCTGGCACAGAACGAAGGGCGATAGGCAGTGGCTGACGGGACGTGGGGGCCTGGGGACCCCTGGGAGGCATGGGGCTGGCCCTGCAGTTCTGCTCGAGGGCCTGTTGGCCCAGAGCCCCGGTGGGAGGGGCCCGCTGGTGTGCCCTCACCTGGTCCCTCTCCCTGAAGCCCCTCGTGGCTTCTTGGCTTCGGGGAGCCCTGTTTCATCATCCGAGGTGCCGGGCTTGTGTGGACGTCCCGCTAAGGGAAGGCTGCAGGAATGTGCTAATCCAGGACAGGAGGGAGCCGCAGGGCAAGCCGGTGCTGGGAAACGGTGGCCTCCCGGGACTTCTCACCGCAGGGCGGACTGACTCAGCCTCACCCGAGGGAGGCGTCCGGGAGCACCTGCCACGGGTGCCTGTGTCCCTGGAGACTGGTCCAGGCACGGTGGGGGCACAACCAGAAGGCATCCCGGGCTCAGCGGAACGCAAGGACAAGGGCTCAGAAAGACCATGGAGAGCACAGGGCGGAGGCACTGGCGCACCGTGGCCTCGGAGACTGGTGTTCTAGCTGGTACAGGGCGCGAGCAGACAACGTGTAGGTGCTGGTGGAAGCTGTGGGTGCAGAGGAAACGGCTGGGTCCAGGTGGGGGGGGTGACCCGGGCCCCCCACGGTGAAGGTGGATAATGGGAGGGGGCGGCTTTGTGTGCACTTTGCCGGGGGAGTTCGAGCCATTGGGGATCCTGGTGGACAAGGAAGAATCAAAGTGGACCCTAGAATGTGACTGTAACCCTGGGCTGCTGGAGAGGGCTCCTGAGGTGGGAGGCCTGGTGGCGGGGGGGTGGGGAGCAGGTTCTGGGGGGGCAACTTGGTTTCAAAACGTGGGGTTTGAGAAGCCCATCAGACGTGAGAGCTGACGTGAGTGGGATCAGGAAGAGCCACCAGCAGGGGTCCCGCACTGGGCCGGGCTGGGCTAGGACTCAGCCCCCCAGACCCAGAGGCTGTGAGGAGAAAGAATTCCCAAGGGAAAGGGAGGAGAGGTGAGGGGAGAGGGGTGCTGGAGGCCGCAGGGCAAGTGCAGAGGGAGGGGGGCTCACGGCCCTGCTGCTGCTGACCCCACAGGGACGGCCAACCAGACACCATTCCCCACTCGAGAGGGAGCTTCCGCCTGGTGCCCTGCTGGGGGAAGGGCTGGGAGGGGAGCAGGGGCACCTGGGGTGGGGGAGGGGCGCCGGAGGACTTGCCTGGAGGGGACTGCAGGGGGGAGGAGGCAGGCAGGGAGCTGGTGGGGACCGCCACTGGAGCTAGAGAAGCCATGGAGGACGGACAGCCTCTGGCGATCCCCCAGTGCCTTCACAGAGACCCCTCCTGCCCACAAGTACCCAAGACTGTTCTGGCCTTGGCAAGTCTTCAGTGACACATCGTCCTCATGGAACCAACTGGGGGAGCTGAGGGGACAGGAACAGAGGGCCACCGTGCAAACGCTGCCTGGGGGGGGCAGGGGCCTTGGGTGGTGAATGGGGCCATCAGGAGGCCCTGCCCCACGGTTTGGGGGGTCCCAGCCTCCTGGGACCAGCTCCAGGGACCAGCGGGGAGCCAAGTGGATCAGGAGCCCACGCAGGTCCTTTCCTCTAGCCCCAGCTGAGGCGGGGGTGGGCAGGGCAGCTCGGGGTGGGGCCGGGGGAGGGAACACAGGTCCCTCCCTAAAGACATGCTCCTGGGGTGGGGTGGGGGTCCCTCCCCACAGACAGCCCCAAGCCTGGCACGGAAAGCCCCGAGAAACCCAATGGAAAATCCCAGGGAGGTGGGGGTGTGGCCACCTCTCGACTGGGCAGCTCCGGGCCCCCAGGGCGTGCAGCCAGCCCTCTCCCATGCCCTTCCCCAGCTCCTGGTACGCCAGGGACCCTGGGCCACGTTGCCCACAGGTGCTTTCTGGCCTGACCTTTGTCTCTGCTGGTCCCTCTGCCTGTGTCCCAGAGAGGAGAGGGTCTGGGCACTGAAGGGGCACCCACCAGACCAGAGCCACCAGCCCTCCACTAGACACCATGTTCCACAACTCCGGGGCTGTGGGGGCTCCAGGCACAGGTACAAAGGGCAGTCCCTGCTGTCCAGGCCACACGGAGGCCCTCGGCCTTGGGGCAATGAGCAGGGCCCCTCTCTGCCTTCGAACTCTGGGACTTGGGAAGTAGGTTCAGGCCACAGGATAGTGGATGCCCAGCGGGAATTCCAAGCATGGGAGGTGGAGGGAGGCAGGGACCTCCCCAGCACAGCCTGGCTCATGCGCTCAGTCAGGGCTGCTCTGCAGGGTCGGTCTCTGGGCTCGCTGGAATGGCCTGTCCCCTCCTGCCCGCGCACCCCTGGGCTGCCGGGCTCCCAGGACGCGCAGTCGCATGGTGGAGAGGGTGAGGCTGTCCAGGTGGGCTCAGCCCTTCCATCAGAGCAATGTGAAACGGAAAACAGACGTTGAGAACAGACACGGAAAACAGGTGCAAAACTGGGAGAAGTCCCAACCGTGCGGGGTTCAGCGGTGCCCCAGCAGCCCGGGTCCCTAGTTTGTACAAACGCATGGTCAGTCCGCACCATACTACGGCTGTGGGGAAGCCCTCGGGACTATCTCCATGCCTCTCCTCTACGTCCCACACCGATCCGAAACATGAGCGTGTTTAGAAAGGGGTTGGAGCGGGGATGGAACCGCAGATCCAAGGACAGGAGAGGGCCGGCTTGGATCCTCCGTTCCCACCTGGGTGCCACCGGAGTGTCCCCTCTGCTCAGGGACACACACACACACACACACACACCCGGCTGTGTTCTCCTCCGGAAGGGGAGCAGAGGGCGGACATCGCTGTTCCTCCTTGGCGCCCTGTGGTGGCGCTGGGGAATAGGGGCTCCCCCGCACAGCCTGGTGCCCCAGGGACCTGGACCCCCTGCCCCCTGGGCTCCCGGAGCAGCACCCCGACCTCAGTCTCCCCGAATTTGGCTGTGGAGCCCTACGGCACACCCACCAAAGTGAGGCCTGCAGGCTGGTGGTCCAGCCACCTCCCCCCTCCCCTGGCCCCATCGGAACCTGGTCCCCAGTCCTGCCATGCCCTCACCTCCTCCACAAGGGTTCCCTTGAACACACCTGCAGATTTGCCACCCACGCCACCCTGGGGCCTCTGATACCCCTTCCCCATCCCTTGTCTGCAAAGTGCAACTTCCTGACCTTCCGGACTGTGTCTCAGAATGCGGCTCCTCCAAGACAGAGCTTTCCCCACTTCTTTCATTCGAGAACCCCAGCACCTAGTCAGTACCTAGCAGGTGCTCAGCCAGTGTCCCCCTAAAGAATGAATGGGTGGGCCTGTGCCAGCAGCAGGAACTGGGAATGTTAGGGACACGGGGATCCCCGGTCCGCGGGGTCCAGGTCACACCGTCTACTGAATGACCGCTGTCTGCCGGGCTTTGGGCTGGACTCTTGGCACCCCTCACCCCTACTGCCAGTCCCTTCCGGAGAGTCAAGGGCCGTGTGACTCTCCTAGCTGTAGGGGCTGGTCCAGGAGGGCACATGGAAAGTGGCCAGGCTGACCGCTCACCCTGTCTTATTGTTCTGTCCCCAGGGCTTCGCCTGCAAGAGCCGAGTGAACCGTGAGTACATCTCAGGCAGAGGGGGACAGTCTGCCTTTCCCGTCCTCATACAGCCTGGCCACCAGGGTCACCCTGTCTTCCTTGCCACTCTACTGGCCTCCCCCTGCCTGCCTCGCAGGACAGAGTGTCCCCCAGATGTCGCTGTCCAGCAGCTGGTGAACACGGACAAGGCCCCCAGTTCACGCCCAGCTGTGCACCTGCCGCACAGAAGCCCGGTGTTCCTGCTTCACCGGAGGACGCCTCCTTTTGCAAAGTGCCCCTGCCGGCCATACAGGGAAAGCCCCACTTCCCCTTGTCAGCTTCTGTGTTTTCTCCGACGCAAAATGACGCCTATTAACTTCACAGTCTTCATTGTGTTCCGCGGCAGCGGCGGCTGCTGCGTGACCTGGCCGGGACGCGGGTGTGGGCTCCTGCCTGAGTGTCCCCGGGGAGTGCTCCGGGCCTCAGAGAGCTCCGCTCCCTCCCGGAGGGTCCCTTGGGGCTCCCAAGGCCATTCGGAACTTTGCCACTTGGATGTGATCCCATTTACCAGTCTCCTCTTTAAGGCGTTTTGTGGATTTGGGGGTGTTTTAAGAAATTCTTCCCCATCCCGAGGAACGTCCGCTGCCTTCCTGTACTTGCGCAGGTTTTAACCTTTTGTTTCCATTCAGCTCTTTAGCTCGCTAGGGTTTCTTTCCCCACGCGGCGAGAGGTAGGGACGCGGCCCTGGCGCTTTGCTGCCTGGGGGCCCGCCTGGGCCGCGCCACGGTCGGCTCCGCGCGGCTCCGCTCTTCCAGCCGCGGGGCGGCTCCCTGACCCGCGCGGCCGCCGCCGGCCGCCCCTTCCCGCCGCTGCCGCGAGCCCCGCCGGCTCCTTCCTGTCCCTGCGCCGCGGCGCCCCCGCCCCTGAGCCCGCAGGTGCCGGCGGAGCGGCGGGAGGGCGGCCCCCCGCTGCGGCCCGTTCCCGCGGCCTCGCCTGCGGCGGCGCCCCGGAGCGGCGGGCCCCAGCCGGGGTGAGAGCCCGCTGGGGGGCGCCCCGAGCCCCGGAGCCCCGGGCCCGCGGCGGGAGGGGAGCGTCGGCGCCGGCTGGGCTCCGGCCGCACCGCGGGGAGCCGAGGGACGGTCCAGACGCAGCAGCGCGAGGACAACTGAGGCACCGGGCACGTGGACGGGGCGGAGCGCGCGACGAGCACCGGCCCCGCGGCCCGCTCCGCGGGCTCCGGGGCTCGGGGCGCCCCCCAGCGGGCTCTCCCCCCGGCTGGGGCCCGCCGCTCCGGGGCGCCGCCGCAGGCGAGGCCG